AAAGAATAAGAACCAATGAAACACTCACAGTAAAATAATACTTATTTTTTTACGATCTAACAGGGAAGTATAAAAACCTTGGAATAAACTGTAAAAAATGCTTTTTCTAGTTACATACATTATGCCACAATCAACATTCTTCTGACATATAAAAAAGTCTTTGATGCTTCTCTCAAAGGGACACGCTGGGCCTGCCCAACAAAACAGATGGACACGAGGGAATCCTGCTTGGGCAAATAATTTTGTTCCTGAACTTAACAGAATCTGTGGATTTATGAGCAAACTCTTCAATGAACACACAGTGTTATGAAAACATGACACTGTTTTCCATTGGGCCACAGTTCAGATGCAACCAGGATTCAGCATGCCAATGATCATGGCAATCTCAGTTCCCTAAGCAATTGTGGGTTTCATTGTCTTTGCTGTGGCTCACTGTTGTTGTGACTAGGGTATGAAAGCGACTAGGCAACAAGCCAAGAGTAAATTGGGAAATCCACATTCATGTGACATGTAAAACCATTGTAACTGTAGTTAATAACTCAAGTTCAAATCATGGCTTCAGATTCTGGCTTGAAGGTTTAGAAATCGACCCAGAAAGATCAGTCCTGCTGCTAGTCAAAATAACTTAAGATAGATGGAGCAATAATTTGCAAGCATGTTTCAGCCTACCAGTGCTGCATACACAATGCTTCATTCATAAAAAGACCATCAGCAAGGTTTTGTGAAGTCTTGAAGAAAAAAAAAAAGGTGGGGTTGTAGAATGATAGGACTTGCTGCATCTTAATTGTTCTGTATACTGGTGCCTGGACATGGCTCGTGGACAGCCCAGAATGCTGTAGGAGCAAGCTGTATGTACAGTGAATTCTGTTTCAAAAGTATGTTGTGTTAGTTTTTATCTGGATTCATATCCAGTTCTGGTTAATCTGCTGTTGTTATACTACATGGGCTTGTGCCCAGCCACAAAGCTGGAGTAAAAGGCATCCATCCATCAGAAGTCTGCCAATCCCAGAAGGAATGAGTGATCTTTTTATTTCTTATCTTTAAATGAATGGCTTCAGACTTTGATTCTTATCAAATCTATTACAACGTTATGTCTGGGTAGTAGAAGTTGTATTAGAAATACCTTCTCAGAAAGCAAAGAAGTAGCCTAGCAATGATTGTCCTCTGGTGCAAGGCGGCGAGGACCATCCCCACCACACTCTGCAGTCTTCCTCCTGGGTTTTTATCTACCGGATTCCATTTCCCCCAGCAGTTTTTTTTGGGAATCAGAAGGGGACAGTATTTCCCATTGTCTAATGGAAAATCTGGTAGGATCGAATCCAGTGTTCCCTCTAAGCTGTGGAGTCTTGTGAGCAAAAATTACACTTTGTGAGCTACTGGCATTAAAGTTGTGAGCGAGCAATTTGGGTGCTGCATAAACTAGTTTGCTCTAGAACCATCCTTCCTGAGCTCAGACAAAAATGTGTGAGCTGGAGGCTAAAGAACTGTGAGCCAACTCACAGTAACTCAGCTTAGAGGGAACACTGTGCAGGTGTTATTTGAAGGATTTTTTAATGAAGGAAAATTCAATAACAGTTACTCCACCTGCAGTCTGAATGGATACAGTATACTCTTATCACCTAAAGATTCTAACCTACATCATGGTATCGGGAAGGACTTCTACAGAAATTAATATAGTTAACATTTCAAAGCTGCTCACCATGCTTCGCACCCCTTCTTTGTATGGCTTGGACCCACTGGATTATTTATTTGGATGGATTTATTTGGATGGATATTTGGATTTTTCTGTGTTCCTTTCTCCCACTGCAGTCCTCCAACCCCCCTCCCCCATGCTGTTCCTGGAACCATTAGGGGGACCCCTTTGAACTGCAATCATGCTCCACAAATGGACATCATTCTCTGCACAAAAAGTACAATTGGATCCAAGCAGGTAGTCCATATTTTTAGCCTCCCCTTTTCCCAGGAAGACCAGAGTTCTCTCCTCCCAATTTTATCTCTACAAACCCTGTAAAGGTTGGTTAGTCCAGAAGCCTCTGGGGTTACTCAGTGGTAAGGATGCCAGCCCTCAAGTGAGGGCGGGGGACCCCATGAATCTTAGGGCTGCTCAGGTGCCAAAGGATAACAAAGAACAACAGTGAGTGAGCTGGATTTCCCACAAAATGTTCACAAAGGAGACTTCATCAAAGCGAAATGCATCTATTATCTGGAATAGCCACTGCAGGGCAAGTGCAGTGTTTCAAGTGGGGGCCACCCATGCGTGCCTGCAAGAGGCAATCTTACTGCTTGTAGGGCAGGCACATGATCTTTTAAAGCAGGGGCTGCCCGTGCCTGCCCTACAAAGCAGCGATCTCGCCGCTTGCAGGGCAGGCATGAGAAATTATCTCAGAAATCATGAAACTATTTTGAATATTGGGAATAAGTCCACTGGTCCATTGATCAGGTCTATGACCAGAATGGAGAGAAGTTTGCGGAAATCTGTTATGTAGCACTTGGTAAGTTGGGGAACTCTAAGTGTGTTGCAGACATTTGCCCAGCCTATTTTATATTATCCTGTCCAGGTCAGTGGGGAGTGACTGTGGCTCAGTGGCTGAGGGCCGACTTGGTATGCAGATGTTCTGTCCTCAGCATCTCCAGTGAAAAGGATCAGGTACAGGTGATGCAAAGGACCTCTAACCTGAGACACTGAAGAGATGCTCTCAGAGCAGACATTGGGTCTGATGCCTGCTCCTGCTGAGGCAGCTGCATGCATTTGAATGGTTGGGCCCTATTGTTAATTCATGACACAGGTCACATGCCTTGGATATTATGAACATATGAAGCTGCCATTGGTCCACCTAGCATTCCATAATATTTGGCATTAGCTCTCCCAGATTTCAAACATGGGTGTCATTTCCAATGTCTGCTACCCAAGATCCTGTGAGATGCTAGGGACTGAATCTGGAATTTTCTCCAGCCAAATCTCCACCACTGTGCCACATAAACTATGCACATGTACAGCAGAGTAGAATCACATTGTCAGGCATTTAGAAGTGCAAATTTCTACAGGGAGACTTGTGTGTACAGTTCAGGGCACGATACAACCATTTGGGTATACGTTTAAATGGCTAATGGGTGTAAATCCCTCGGAATAACTACACAGACGTCAGACTTTCATGTACTGTCTTTTTGCTATATGATCCCCACTCTCTCGCAACATTTACGCAAATGTAGCACTGGCAGCTTGATGAGGCAATAGTTCTCCCAATCTAAATTAACCTTTCTGTAGAATGCTCTTCCTTGTGAAATTCAAATCACAGCATCGTTATCATTTTTCCAAAGGCAGGCGAAGCTTTTGTTTTATTTAGATGCATTTATTTAGATGCATTTATTTAGATGCATTCTAATGCCTGTTTGGTTATGGATTTGACTGTTTAAAAGTTTTAAATTTAATTTATAGGTTTATCACCTTTATTTGGATATCATCTTTTTTATCTTGAGTCTGGTTTGTTTAGGGGAATCTAAATTATTAGAATGACGATGATGAGTACTCATAAAAGCAATTATTTCAGTAGCTGACCCCAAATTATGGAACTGTTTCCTGGGCCTAGAAAGTACGGTGGGGGGGGGCATGTCCCAGAAGGGTGTTGGAAGCCTGGGTGCTCCAGAGATTTTAACAGCTTTAGAGGCATTGATGTTTACATCATTGATGTTCTTGGGTTGGTTCACATTTATTGGTGTTGGTTAAATAAATAAATAAATAAACATTTGAATTGATTTAATTTGGGAACTGTTTGACAGATTTTTTTAGATATAGAAAGGTAGTGTATAAATATTTAAAATATACAGCAGCTTTGGGGCAATCTTGACTGGAAAAAAATGGGGAGGGTTATATACAAAGCCCTCCCTGCATGGCTGCATTTGAGGGTTTTTTTTTTAAAGTAGTGTCAAAAACACTCACAGAACTGTATTGGCTCAGTACATCTTCCTTAAGCTGCAACCCCCCCCCCCCTAAAAATAAGGCTTTTGGCATCTACTGTGGCAACTTTGCTGCCTACTTTGCTGCCTACGTACAATAAACTGCTCTGAATAGACGGCTACCAATCCAAAATATAGCGCCCCTCAAATCTGCACAAAGGTCTGTTATCAACAGTTAAAATGTATCTAAAATAATGTATATTGTCTAACTCTCCACCTGAAACTGGCAGCAGCCATTGACCATGTTTGAAAACATGTGTATAATATACATGCATTAAGTAAAAATGAAGCCAGTTGAACATTCGATCAATATAGCACTGGTTCGAAGTGTAGGAAGACTTTGCATTGGCCTCTCAACAAACCCAGCATCACCCTCTGATGGAAAAGTAGGTAGAGGACATGTGATCATAAAAACCAGGCACAGCCTTATGTTTAACAAATGAGCAAAAAATACTTTTGCCTGAATAAATTCACCTTTGAACATCTTACACAGAACCCTCCCCCAAACATTTCCCCTCTAGGCTAGAGAGGCAGATTATAAACCTGTCGCCAACACTGAAGGTAGGTGAAGTTGAACACATGGTGTTTTTTTACTTGCTGTGGCTATGTGGATATCAATTTCCTGGGAAGGTCAGGCCATTAGAAATAGATTCTTGATACTGTCTTGGCCCATAAGATAAACTAACCACACACAGTTTGTGTTAAGTTTTCCTGGAGGATATAGAGAATCCTTTATCCCCCTTTCTACTGTCACCATGCTGAAGAAATCATTCAGGGCTCTTACAGGTTTTTTTTATTGCATTAAGAAACAAAAAAACCATTAAAGCATTAAGTCAGCCCTTGTATGTCCCTGCCAAAGAGAATAGAGTTGATTTACAAGACATTGTATGCCTTAGGTCCTTTGCTGGTCCATTCTTCTTTGCTGTCTGTCTCTCTCTCTCTCTCTCATGTGCAGTTTTCAATTTCGCCCGTTTAGAGTTGATCAGGGAGAAAGATCACCTGGCGGCATGCGCATGCATGGATAGTTTTGATTCACAGTGTTATGGCTACTCCATGCCACTTCGGAGGATCTGATTGGCTGCAATTAACATGACGCTGATAATAAAGGCCATAGCAAAAGCACATATTAAGCTCTTCCGTACACACGTCTGTCTGTTCTGCTTCTGGGAATGCACTGGAGACAAGAGAAAAAGTATTTGTAAAGCATTATACAGTGAGAATCTAAAAGTTCTGTAGCCTGCCTTTCCACCCTACTCAAACCAGTCATTCCTAGGCTTTTTTATACCAGCAAATAACTGATTTGAACCAGTGGCCTCTCCATTCATTTGTGTACACCTCCTCCAACCCCTTTTCCAAAGTATATATTGATCAAATCCTGAAAAAATAATCATCTTCATGTGACTGTTCACATATTTGTATAAAGATGGTTTGGGTTGGATTTTATCAATGCACAGGATTACACAAAGGAGCTGCGGTGGCTCAGGTGGTTAAGACACTGAACTGCAGGCTGTGGAAGGTCAGTAGTTCAGCAGTTCAAGACCCGAGTGTGCCGCATGATGGAGTGAGCTCCCGTCTCTAGTTCCAGCTCCTGCCAACCTAGCAGTTCGAAAGCAAGAAATTGCAAGTAGATAAATAGGTACCACTTCGGTGGGAAGGGAACAGCATTCCATGTGCCTTGGTGTTTAGTCATGCCGGCCACATGACCACGGAAATGTCTTCGGACAGCGCCGGCTCTTTGGCTTTGAAACGGAGATGAGCACCGCAACCCTAGAGTCGGATTCGACTGGCTTTCGGGCAAGGCAACCTTTACCTTTACCTTTTAGGATTACACATGCATAGCAGTAAAACAGAGGACAACAGAAATTATCAGAAGGAACTGAAAACTACAGAAAACTGGACATGTTCCAATTCTGCAATCAAATTTAGAAATTCTCCTAAGTAACCTGGAGGATCAGCCATAGAACAACAAAGTAATGGTACAGGGGAATCATTTTCTACTTCTCAGAGAGGGGACTTCTCTGTCTGCTGTGGCCCTTGTAAAGGACATGTGATGATGCCCAACAGGGGCATTCATCATAGGAGGACCACAGAAGTCCCTTGGAGTCTGCCTTCCCCAGAAACAGCCCTTGATAGGGTTGTGCTGCTGTGAGCTTTGCTTTGGGTAAAAGTGGATTTTTTTTTGTTTCCAAGTGAGTAGTTTTATATCCACTGCTCCAGACTGGCTAGAAGCAGAGGGTTTCTTTTTCTCCTGTCTACTCCGCACTGCCCGGAATGATAGCATTTCCTGTACAAGCTATGATTTCTAGCCCTGTAAAGGCCATTGCACTGTTTAGCTGGCAGAACTCACAGCAGAGGGAAGGCTGATCGGACCATCCAAAGGAAGGAGTTGTATTGTAAGAATGGTTTGGGGCAGAGCTCGCCACATAGGGCTAACATGACATGGAGCCAACTGATCCTGATCCTTAGGTAATTGGAGGGCACTAAACCTGGCTGTTGGGTTGGGCTTTTTTTTTTGAGGGGGGGGTGCCTTACCAGTCTAACTTTTCACCAGGCATGTGTCAACACCAACTACACTGCAAAACACTACATTTCATTCCATTGGCCAGGTATATACCTCCTCAAAGTTTTATAATAACTTATGTCTCTTGTGTTCCTTCGGGAGACCAGGGGCAGATGCCTGTTTGTTTGTAATTTTAGCTCTATGGATATTAGTGAGTGCACACGTCATACACAAATGGGGGAGCAGAACTATTCTTTGAAATCAAAAAGGACCTCACCTTCAAATTCTGTTTGACAGTTGCCAGAGTTCTCATTTAAGCTCTCCTCTTCATTGATGATAATGTTCTCAATGTCTTTCATTGTTAGGTGATCCCGAAATGCATGGTAGAGGATGTGTTTTAGCTCTTCCAATGTTATCCGTTGCATGTCAAACTAAAGAGGAAATCAGGGAGAAAAAACTGATCAATCCATTTTGTCTTGACGAAAGCATATATAAAATAACGATTATTTTTTAAAAATCTTATTGCCACTATTTGGCTTGAAAATCCATTTCTATTTTGCTTTCTCTTTATGAGAAATTAACCTGATCCTTTTTTGGCACCATGTTTCATGTCTGATTTTTCTCCTTTTAAAATGTATTTATATTTTTCAACATGATCATCATATCGTCATCATATATAGGGAACATTAGAATTGTTCACTATATGTACGTATAACTCTGCTGTCATGGCAATGTTTTCTATTGATGTAATGCTATTTTTCTGCACTGTATCTGCACTCTGCATTATGTCTAATGTGCTATATGTATTTAGATTTCTTTTTAAAATATTTATCAATTCAATTTAAAGATATATATAATAAAAAGAACAGGTACACCAACATCTCTTACCAAAATCATTAAAATTAACAACTGCTGTAAGATCTGTTCTCTGCACACCTTCAACCATGAGTCTAAGCCACAGTTTTCTTTCACTTTCATCAGCCAGCCATTAAATTAGGCCTTTTTTTTGCTTCCAATTCCTAGCAAAGATCAAGTTGGCTGTGTTAAGCTACTGCATGAAGATTTTTAGGCAGATCAACTACACAACTTGTATAACCGTCCTTTGAATGACTCTGCTCCTGAAATCAGCTATGAAGCTACGACAGGAAAAACTGAGTAATATAGGGTTGCCAAGTCGTACCTCGTGTCGATCCCGGAAGTGATGCGACCACGCTGGGCACACTGGGGGCAGGGCCACGACCATCCAAGGGAAAACCACAGTGGTCGCGTAACTTCCTGGTGAAGTGCACGTCGGGGTGGAGTTCCCCCCAGGGCCCGATCCGGTGGTGGTGGGGAATGGGCCTCTGGGGCAGGGGTTTCCCCACCCCCCAGGGGGACTTGGCAAGCCTAGAGTAATATTTTGTAACAAATTGTTTTATGCAACAGTATGTAATATGCTTGGCTCTATATGTATGGTCTTATATGATTTTATATGTATAATCCTCTTTTTTATAGTAACCCTCTTTTAAGGTATGGTTTTATGCCAATAAAGGCTGACTGACTGGAAAAAAACACTTCACAACTTAACGGTAAGGGCTCTGATTTTTCGGGAATCTCTCCAATCTGACTGATGTAATTTCTACCACTTGTTTCCAATAATGTGTTGCCCATTTACATAGCCAAAAAACCTGCCTTCTCTACCTCACAAAATTGCTACATGCCTTTCATAATATGTGCCTTTCATAATAAACCAGTTGGGGGGCCTTTGGAGAGGCAGAATGTCAGCTATGCTGCCATGGTAGGTGGTGGGGGAAGGGAGTCTGTAAAGTGAACATCTTATTGTTCTGGAATGTTAACTTGCACTTTCTCACTGCGCCTTATCTGGTTGCCTGACCTTGATATTTTGCGCTCTCACCTCCCTGGGAACTTGTAGTCGTTACGTTAAGCGTGCAAGGCTTGCACCTCTGATTGGCTTGCCCCCATCAGAGGGTCACACTTCAAACACAGTGTATCTTCCTCCTTCCCACTTGTGAGGTTAGCCTTTACACAGAACTCAATAAACGTGATCCTTCTGGAAGGAATGTTGTTGAGCCTGTTTGTTGTAGGACTCTGACACTGGGTGAATTTGGTTTGGACATACACTGTCAGCCTAATCCACCTCACTGACGTTGTTATTCCTCATGTAAATAGTTCACATTGCTTTCCTATTGAGAAAGACTAGATCATGAGGGCATGAATACAGTGAAAAATGGGAGGGAACCCAATTGTACCTTGGCATAATGAGCCCAACAAAACACACACTGTAGCAAGGCACACAAAAGCTCATACTTTGAATAAAACTGTTGGTCTTCAAGGTGCTTTGTATTTCTCCCGTGTGATTGAAGCAGCTGATCAAAGCAAGGCAGGAGGAAGGCTTCAGTCAATGGAGGGGAAGAAAGATTTGTCTTTGTCTCCTGTGTGATTGAGGCAGCCTGGCCAGGAATAGGATTCCTATTCCCCTGATTGCCCCCCCCAGAAATAAAGGTAAGACCTGGCAACCCTAGGAAGGAAACAAGCTCTGGCACATTCCCTCCCTCCCCCTGGGAAGAGGCGAAGGAGCCTCAGCCAGTGTAGGGAACAGAAGCTTGCCTATCCATTTTTCCTGTGCAAATAAAAGAGTCTGGTAAAGCAAGCTGTGACACAGCAGCAGCGGCAGAACTGGAGACAGCAAAAGACATGCGGGCCAGATAGGAGCCCTCCTATGCAGCCTTTTTGACAGAAGAATTGAAGGACAACTCATTATATCAGAAACTCTCTATGCAACCTTTGTTGTTTTTTTTACATCCCAGTCAGATTAGAAATAAAGCAATTGAAACATGGATCTTGCTAATCCAACACAGATTTCTGGGCAACCCCCCAAATCTCAATCTCAGAAACAAATGCATCATGTCAAGCCCTCCCATATGAAGCATTTTGTTAGAAATGCATCCAAAATCTGCCTCATCTGAATTTTGGACTCGAGAATTACCCCATCTTGTTTACAATGCATGTATGTTCTGTTTTTATTTTTGACATTTGTAAAGGCACGGGCAATGACTTTGACAGGCCAGGCTAGCCTGATATCATCAGATCTTGGAAGTTAATCAGGGCCAGCCCTGGGCAGTATTTGGATGGGAGACCTCCAAGGAATAGCAGGGTCATGATGCAGAGGCAGGCAATGGCAAACCTCCTCTGAACATTTCTTGCCTTGAAAACCCTCTGGGGTCACCATAGGTCAGCTGTGACTTGACTGTACTTTTCACCATGGGCAATTTGCTGTCACTTACAGTTTTTTCTTCTCATTTGTGTCTTTTCCCCTTCTATCCTCATGTGACTGTGATAAAACAGCCCAAAATGGCAATAATACCACACCAAGCCTATGACTTGGTAAATCACCACACCCAAAATAGAATCTTGACACAACTTGTTGCAGTAGTGTTGGCATTTTGTGGTGCTTTACACCTGCACATTAGTAAAGCATTGCACAAAAAAGAATCTTGATACAATCCTATGTGACAGCACCAGGATTTTTTGGGGGGTGGGTGGGTAACATTTTACCAATGTGCACATGTGCTCATAAATTACATGTAGGATGGTAAATATGGAGGAAAAATGAACAGACGGAGCAAAAAGCTGCAGCTCTGGTCCTGGTATTCATTTTATAAATTCATTAGGATAAAACTGAATTCTGGTGGAGGGGAATTAAGGTCACTGGGAAATCTGGAATAATCAAGCAACAGAACAGGGGAAACCCAATTATCTGTGCACTTAAACCATTCCCTTCCTAAAGCATGCTGCAGAAAATGGCTAGATTGTTTCCCCAACATCCACCTGAGGTAATGAAATCCAGATTTCCAGCTCTGTTAACAGATTTGTAGTTATCAGGGGTAACGCTTTTTCATATTCATTCCAAGAAGGTGAGAAAGAAAAGAGAAGCTACAAATTACCCAGCTTACAATGCAAGAAGCAAGGTGTGCATCACCAAAGTCTAAGCTTGAATATGGAATGTATGTTGCAACTGATGTGGAGCTATTTTTAGTAGCAGAACACCACCAAATTGCCAAACAGGCAGTTGGTAAAAATTAAAGCCCACCTGCCCACTTGCACAAGATCTTGAGGAATCGTGATGAATCAGTGGTTGAGTAGTTCTTGGGCTGAAAGGGGGTCACAAAAGGGGGTTGAAAATTAGCCTATTTACCCTGGCACATGGCAAACATACTGACCAATATTATGAAAGGGGGGACAAAGCGGAAGTTATCCTATTTGAATACCAGCCTGCCATATTACAATGCACAGCTGAGCTGCTATCAATATGATCTTCAGTCCACATGGGTACCTTATACAAGGTTTGTTTGCCCTGGCTTGAAGGCTATGGGGAAGTATCCCCCTTCCCCATTCCCAAACATTGTGGTGCATTTGTGCACCTCCTGTGCTTTCTTCTTCTGTCCTGTTGTCTGTCCTGCTTTGCTCTGATATTTTGAGAAAGACCACAGCAAAGCCAGAATGGCACTCAGACAGGGAAGTCCAGATCTTCCTAGTCTGCCCACATTCCTGCCCCAAGTGCCCTTTGGTGGCTATTTTCCTCTAATCACAGGAGAGCTTTTAAAAAAGATCACCCATTGACATATAACCATTTGTCTTTGGGTTTTCTGAATTTCCAGCTTTCACTTTTTTAAAAGTAAGTTTCTAGTCCCTCTTATTGCAAGAAGGTGGCTGCTGAAGAGGACTGACCCAGGGAAAATGGAAGATTTGTCTTCACTTACCATCTTGGTGGTACAGGAATGGGGCAGTCATCACTGTTGGGATATGGCTCCTCCTCCTGAGCAGGGTCAGTCTCCCTAAGTCAATCGAGCTGGGGGAGGGACCTGTACCCTGGGAGTTCCCCAGTCACCCCCAAGCCATGATTTCCCCCTTCCAAATTGAATATATATATATATCTTCCAACCAGGCATTGTGCCTCTGAAAGAATTGTCAGAGCCTCCTAGTTTCTGCTGTATTATCAACCTGAGTCAGCTCCGAAGAAGGCCACTTAGGTCTGAACTCCTTTTTTTCAATGCTCTGTTGTATGACCCGAAGACATTTCCCTTAAGATTGGTTGGGTAGGACTGCCCCACTCCTGGACCACTCAGAAGAAAGCGTCATGATAAGTGAAGATAAATCTTCCATTCTCCAGTGGTCCTAGGAGTGGGGCAGTCCTCACTGTTGGGACATAAAAAGCAGGAGGCATGGAACTTGAGACTGATGAAATTGTTTTAATGAGGAGGCAGAAGCAAATAAATTACGGGAAGAACACGCTGGCGTATGACAGATAAGTTTGGGAAGTTCCAAAGAGCTTACGAGTTCCAGGAGTCCATCTGAGGACTCCCAATAAATTCAAGAAATACAGTCGAAGATCTTGGAACCAACAAATCACTGTGGAAGGTAGCGTTGCATT